CAGAGCCAGGAAGCATTGATAAACATTTATCTTGCTGACAGCATTTTCAGCACTCTCCTCCATTTCTGCACAAGTTCAAAAAGGAGTGATATCATTCTTCCTACTAGGAAAACTAGTTCCTAGTAACAGAACAGGAAATAGATTTATATAAAATTGTGAGCTAAAACCAATAGAGATGTTTCCAAGTTCCATGTATGCTGCACAGCTACCTTTTGGTTAGGACTAACAAAGAAGCAGAAAGATTTTAATAAAAGAAGCAGAAGACCATAAGAGAAAAAACATTTGCTGTTTTTTCCTCCTCAATCTCATTTCACCATTCAGGATTCTTAGTTACTGATGTCAAAGCAGACTGCATCTTCTTTGATCACTGCACTGTTTCATAACCAGTTCTTATTTGAACTGCATAGGTCATTACATCCAAGGTAGACAAGCTAGAATCACAGATATGGTGAGTTGGAAAGGACCCATCAGGATCATCAAGTGCAACTACTGGCCCTGCACAGGACCCCTCCAAGAACATCATCATGTGCCTAAGAATGTTGTCCAAACACTTCTTGAACTCTGTCAGGCCTGATGCTGTAACCTCTTCCCTGGGGAGCCTGTTCCAGTACTCAAGCACCCTCTGGCTGAAAAATTAGACTGCAATTAACTACAATATGGAGAGCTCTAAGATATTCTTCCACTCAATCTAGAAAAGGTTCTTTGCTGCAATAAGACAGAAAGGAATAACCCAGGGATGAATAAGACACTGTTTTCTGAGATCTGTTATGTTGTCCAATGTAATTTCAGTTTTAACGCTGAGAGCAAATGAGAAAAACAGGAAAAAAAGGGAAAAATTGTCTCTTGCAATACTCAGGTTGGTTTGACAGTGAAATTAGACCAGAAAGTGCTCTCCTTAGGTCACCACTGCCTTGTTGATTTGTCTTATTCTCCTAATCTTTGGATCCTTTCCACAATGTAAACTCAAACCTACACATGGGTTCTGGACACCTGTCAAGACCAGATATGGATTGAGTCCCTTTCATTACTACTTTTATCTATAACACTGAAAAAAAACCCTACTGGTGCCAAATATTCCTGCTCTCAGCTAGCTTCTTCAGCTTTTAACTAATACATGAATATTTGAAACTTTCAATATATCCATATTCATATATTTCAATGAAGTTTCAGAATCACAGGCTATTAATTCAAAATAAGAAATTTCAGTTTCTGCTTTTACCAGAGGGGCATCACTTGAAGTACTGTCACAAAAGTGGTCATTCTGGAAAAGCAGCCCCTCTTATCTGCTTTCATTGAATACTTGAGACTATCATACAGAAGTTCATTAAACATTTAAATTAAATTTTTAAATTTTAAACATTTGAATGTTTTTTGACCATTTTAACTTGCCATCCTATCCCTTAAGGTTTTCCTCTGAAATATCCACTGAATCAAAATTAAAAAATTAAAGGAAAAATTAAATTAGGAAAATAGTTAGAAATAGTTAGAAATCAATCTGCTCTTGTGTTTCAGCTCCTCTTACTATCAAAAGATTACCAGGGTGCTGAGATAGGGCTGCAATTACCTCTACCTCATCCAATCATCTGTGCTTACAGAAAAAGAAAAAATGAACAATCCCAACATAGTGTATAAATTCTTTTCAACCATTTAAACCCTATTATTTTTATATTATTTGCAGTACTATTTGTCTTCATCTCAAAACACAGAACTATGTCTGAAAACATGAAAATGTGGTTTTCCGCCCCTCATATTCTGAAGTATATGGAATATTAAAAGCTTCTATTTCCCAAAGAACTAACATTCTGAAAGGTCTCTTCAAAAAAACAAACAAAACCAGAACAAACAAAACAAACAAAAAATCTCCAGTGATATTATTGCAATATCTGTAATTATGGTGCAAATGAAAACTTTTAAATATTAGACAAATAATTAGATACCTTAAAGTAAGTAATTAAGATTTCTTTCCTTTAAACAAATTGTCAATATTTCAAGTTGACCTCAACTGCATTTGTTACAAAATTTGCAGTTCCATCCAAAAAAAATGCAGTAACTATTTTATAGTTTGAAGGACAGAGGGAATGCGATAGTGACCTCCTTGAGAATTCTTCCTGTGCCAAGGGCTTACATGTGCAGATGTCTTTTTCCTTTGATAAGCCATGAATTTCTTGCCATGGGAACTCCCACTCCATTAGCCAATAAGAATTTAAAATTTCAATCAACTTTGACATCTCAGGAAACCATTCTGCTGCATAACTCACTTTCCCTCTCCCACCTTCCAGTACATTGCTAGTCCATAAAACATCTGGGAGTCCAACTTCTCCCTCTCTTTTCAGTTCCTCTACCACAAAGAGAAGCCAGCCAGGGAGCAGTTCCATCTCCCTACAGCACAATTAAGAATTTTCCTCCCCTCTGACATTGTACCTTGTAGCTTGTTGAGGATGAAAATTTTCTGGTGAACTAAAATATATTCAGTAAAACTTATCTGTACACTTAAATTATGACAGATCCCAACCATTTATGACTTAGCTGCAGATTATATTTCATGAAAAGCTGCTAATAGGTAAAGTGGCTGAGCTTCAATAAGCAACCTTTAGCCTTCCTCCTCTTCACACACACACAATCAGCCTTGACTTAGATGCATCTATTTCATTACACTCAGTAAAAAAGTGCAAGTACAGTGAAATATTCTATTCTATCACAATATGCAAATGCCATGAGCATACAGCATAGGATTATTAGATGAATCATCTGCCTGTAAACTTGGGTGTTCCTAAGTGCTTTGAAAATCTTCTGTTCTTACATTTTCACTATACTGCCAGGAAGCTTGTTGGTTTTTAGATAATATCTGACTTTCTCTCTCTCCATTCCACACAGGAACATTTTAAGGAGCAAATTCCTGGGAAATCAGCATTACATCTGCAGGCTGATAGGCTGAGATATAGAACTTTCCTACTGCCCTTTCCTTTACCATTTTCTATATTCTCTTCCCCAGGATTCTTCAGACCAGCACAGCACAGCAGCATTTCAAAATGGACCTAAGAAGTGCCACAGACAAGGAATAGAATAAGTTCATTATTGCAGGGTTTTGACTTAAGATGGATGAGTTCACAACACAAGCAGATACAGTCAGGGCAGCACTACATTGATCAGTAGCTAGAAAGAGTTGTAATCTCACAAACTCATGTAACTACCCAAGATTTTTGCATTGTTAAACCACATCTTGAAAGGGACAACTACAGTATTTGTATCTGAGATAGCAAGAGAGACTAGTTTGATTCTTTTTTTCCCTCAAATTAGATCAGACCTAATTAACCTACCTCAAGAACACTTTTGGTACATACAGTTGATTTCATTTAATTCCTGGTACAAAGGAAAGTGAATACACATGTAATCCCATAGCTGAGAAGAAAGATGAAGTCAGAAATTAAAAGTCTCATCACTAGAGGCTCTGATTCTGAACAAGGTACTGCATAAGCCTTGCTTAGTGAAACAATGTACTTCCTAAGAAAATACCCATTGGCAAGAAACATTTAAGTAACAAAGTAAAACTATGGCTGCAATATTATGTAAGAAGCTATAAATTCCACTTATAAATATGTAGAAACTGTACTCTGCTATTCAAATCATATATCAATTACATGCAATAAAAGTCTACTTTATTTATGTATGCTCCACTAGCATCTCAAAGACCTGAGATGTCTAAATGGACATCAGCATCATTCTCACTTGGAAGACTACATCACATCCCTTTCAGCAGAGAAACACTGCCAGACAAGAAAGCTCAGAACTCCAATCCTATAAATATTACATATTTCCTATTTTTTTTTATTTATTTGAACTAGAAGAATAATTGGCAGACTTATCAATATTGTTGGAAGTACATAAGTAAAGAACTATAGAACAATAGGTGAACTATATAGAACTATTTAAGTATAGAAGGAACAATTGCACCTTTAAAGTGTTTACAAGTTAAATAGAAGACAGTGAACAAGAGGGAGCCAAACAGCATAAAGACACAATCAACAGGAAACAATTCCTGAAGATTCAGTGTGGACATTTTGTAGAAAGGATTACAGAGAGAAGTTATAAGCACTAAGGATAAAGAGAGAGGTGATTTTGCAAGTATTTAGGTAGCACCTGATAAGCAAGGAGATGTGCAGAAAAATGTGGCAATGTTCCCTGGGGGAAAAAAATGGAAAACATTCTCTAATCAAGAGACACCCAAAACAGGGAAATCCCACGGAGCACCATACAGGATACCGTTGGTCTTAGCTCTGGGGTAATGCTAATCAGTTCTAAAAGGATCATCCACTGAGAAAAAGCCTGATGGTCTCTCAGTAACTGCAGAAAAGTAAACTAAGGAAACCAGCACTTTTTTTTTTTTTGATCTGTTTTAGACACAAACTTGCACAGCTATTTTATGAAGCTTCTTCTAAATCAACGGTTTGTCTCCCTCTGAAGTGGTTCCTTCAGAAGTGGAAGTTACCCAACTGTAAAACCTGTGAAGAGAGAGAGATCCCACTAACAGAAGTAAACAACAAATGTTCAAACTGGTTCTTCATTTTTGTTCACACGGGCTTTATTATTAATGCAAGTTACTAACAATTTGAAAGATCAATACATTTAAGTGACTCCAGCAATTTTGCAGTTCTTTCCCGATTCATACCACTGTAACACGACGAAACGCTGAGCCGCTTTAGTGCCTCACTTTGCCAGCCTGAGAAGCAAGGGCAGCATCCACCTACCTCGCGATGGCAGATGAACCTTCTAGAGCGTTTGAAAGCAGCAGAACAAAGATGCGGGATCCGCGCACGTTACCGCCGCCCCCGTCGGCAGCCCCGACCCCTCCCGGGCGGCCGGGATCGCGTTCCGACAGCCGAGCCGCCCCTCGCCCGGCGCCGCCCGTGCCCTCCCCGCCGCGGTGACAGCCCGGGGGAGGCGGGCGCGCCCCCCACCACCGCCCTCACCCCCGCTCCCCGAGGGGGCGGCTCCGGACTCACCGATCCCGGGGGCCACATAGATGAAGTAGAGGCAGGATGAGGAAAAGGAGAAGAAGAAGATGAAGGCGAGCATGGAGCGGTTGGAGACGCGCAGCGCCTTCCGCAGCAGTGGCATCCTCCCGCCGCGCCGGCCGCCGGCCGCTCCGCTCAGTCCCAGCGAGCAGCGGCGGAGCTTCCTAGAGGGAGGCGGCCCGCTCCTCCCATGGATCGGGCGGCGAAAAGGTGACTAGGGGGCGAGGGGAGCCCCCTCCCTCCCTCCTCAGGAGTGGGGCTAGCAGGGGCAGCGCCGCGGTGTGCGGAGGAGGGCGGGCGGCGGCGCTTTGTGGCCGGTCCTGCTGTCTCCCCGCGGGCGGCTGGAGCGGGGATGCCCGC